TTCCTGTCTGTGGCACCAAGCTGTTCACTGCAGAGTCCCCATGCCACGTCGGCCAGGGTAGAGAGTGATAAACATTAAGCAGTAGCCAGATGCAGTCAGACTGCTGGGTCTCATCTTCTGAAGTGACTGCTACTCAGTCTCCACTCTTCACCTCTTTCTCCTCCGTCTCCCTATTAATAAGAGAGGGATGATGATACTCCTTTCTCTTTAGTAATGTCTGTTACCAATCTGTGGATGGAGAGTAATTTAAACTACCATTTAAGTTAGTGGTAAGTATTATTTTTATTCCTGCACCTCCACAGAATCATTTATCTTCCCATTTCAGCTGCCCAAGATAGACTTGGTCACATCTTTACAGTAAGGTGATTTACAGACACCTTATAAATAGTTACTAAGTCATCGGCATTTTAATAAATGACCAATTTATTCTTATAGAGTCCACAGGTTGCTTCCAACACTTTCTTCTGATGAGCCTGGAACCACATATAATACATACTGTTCATACCTATTAATTGCCTATGATTTGCAAGATGAAGTAATAACTTTTATTGGACCAGCTTGCATAGCTGGGAGAGTGAAGGCAAACTTCTTGGCTTTCTTTTTCTCCTCTTCCAACTATATAAGCTGATATCAAGAAAGAATATTATCTCACCTCACAAATCTACATCTTATGTTTCTAGACCATCATATCTACAAACACCACATGTGTTTCTGTTATCCACTAATCATTTACAACTCCTTTATATAGAAATCCAAAGGGATCCCGAATAAATTAAGAATGACTTTAGAGTTCTTACTGACATCCCACAGTCATACCGCTCAAACACATGGATTCTTATACTTAGCTCCCACCTGCGCTTGCAGATTTCATTGCATTACATAACTAAACTTTTTATTACCAACCTAAGGGGATTGCTTAAATTACAGGTTGAAGAAAGGTGGACTGTTTTTGAAGGATATTCCGTGCATTGGGGGGGGGGGGGGGGGGGGGTGGGGGGGGGGGGGGGGGGGGGTTAGTACTTTATTAAGGGTTGAAAAGCACACAGATGTGTTCTTCAGTATCATTTCCCCCACTGGGGAACCTAAGGGAAACACGAGTCATTTATTTCCTATACTAAGGACACAGTTAAAAGGACCTACCATAGGACTGACTATTTAATTCAAATATACTAGAAGATGGTGAAGATGGAATGGAGGCCTTTTTTTTTCCTCCCAGTGGTCAAGTGAAGATTCACAATGATTTAACCAAGTTTAAAAGGATGCACCTTCTACAGTCACTTTCATGATAGCTCTGACTCTTGGCTCTGCACCAATGTGGAGATGCAACGGTCAAAAATTTCCTTCCACAGAGCTCACAAGGCAGATCATCTGTGAGGGGGCAACACCCCTCAGCACCCATTCTCCCTAGTAGTAAATGTAGCAATGCAATATGAACAGAGGGATTTTGATCATCTGAGATTGCCTTTCAGTTATAACAGTTCATCTACCTGAAGCATTAACTTGGAGATGAAAGACTAATTTCCACTTTGTCTGAGGCCGCTAATCTCTTTCATCCTTCCCATTTGATGTTTTTTCCACAGTTTCTAAGATCTGTAACATTGTTACCATGGCTCCCTTGCTGGATCATTTCAAGATTTCCCAGAACAAATAAATCTCCCTTTATTTTTCATGGATGTTTTAAACTTAACAGACACAAAATATGGTAAGGGCAATAAGGAAAGGGGAAAAAAAGAACCATTGATGCAATAAATAATCACCATAGTTCAACAGAAATCTGACACCATATACTCACTACTGACAAAAAGCCAGTCAAACTCCTTGCAGGACTGCACTCAGAAAGCATCTCCAAGATCCCAGCTTCTTAAAAAAGTGTGTGTGTGTGTGTGTGTGTGTGTGTGTGTGTGTGTGTGTGTGTGTGTACCTCACTTTCAAGTTTGCAGCACACAAGCCTGTGCATGAGCGACTGAATCTGGGGGGCACCCGCAGAAGCCGCTGACGGAGGTGGCCCTGTCTGGCCAGCCCTACCGAGAGTCTCAGTGTCAGCTGTCAGCGGGAGCACCAGCCCTGTCACGGGGGCACGTGCACCCCCTACCAGCCACCTATGAGCCTGTGTGAAAAGGATTCACTAACATTGGTTGCACTTATGATTTTAGTTCACACCATCTACAAAGCCAGATCCTCAGCTGGTGGAAAATGGCAGAGCAAATTTATACCAGCTGGGAATCTGATACAAGTGTTCAAAAGAAGAACTGTGCAAGAAACAGAAATATTGCAAGCCAACCTTCATAGTCTAACTAAACACAAATCTGGGGTAACCTTAACTAATCACAGGAATCCCATTCAGTCTCCTTACAAACTTTTTTTTCCATTAATGTTTACAGACCAGTCCCTGTGCTCATTCAATAAGAGAAGGCACTGTCAGAGGGATGAGAAAGACCACTTTTATCATCTCCTTCAGCTGTCATTCAGCTCTTTATTTGTTCGCATGTGTGGTCAGATCCATTACAATACTGCTCCTTTAACAGCTAAGGCAATTTTTATTTTAATCAATGACCACATTAATGGGGTCCTCTTAATAGTTAGTTAATGCACATCCAAAAATGATGTAAAGACCCAAAATCTAAAACAGTTCATTCAGGAACCCACTCTGTTTCAGTTTGTATACTCTGGTTAAAAGCATACTTGCAGTCATTGTTAGAGATGATGACCCCTAAGGATAAGTCATGAGAAAAGCAACTTAGTCAAGTGAAGGAAGTGATAAAGGGCTCAAGGTATAGCACTGCATTTATGAAGGCACTAGTGATTTCTTATCACGGTACGAGTTTTAGACAAATGCTCGTCATAAACTAGGGTCCTGCCTACTTGCACCTTTTCCATTTTAAAATGCCTGTAACGGGAATTACATTTCACACTAAATTAGCATTGTCATTTTGTTTGCATCAATTCAATTGCTCCTGCCTTATATGTGGGGAAAAAAAGTATTTGGTCCACCTGGATTGACTCACTTCTCTCAAAGTCCAATTTTGCATCAGCTTTAAGAGGCATTTCATTTACAGAGGAGGACTTGGCCTTCTCTTGACAATGCTTTGCCCCCCACAACAGAATTTGAAGTGGGCAATCCAGGATTTAAAGAGGAACACATTAAACAGAATAAACCAGATCATAGAATGCTTTAAAAAGATGTTTCATGTGTGCCCAGCAGAATTCTACCATTTCACAGTGCACAGCCATTAAAAGCACTGACATTGTATGCTAGTGGCATCATCCTTTCTTTCTAGTTAGAGAGAAGAATCCTTAAACAAAACTGTGCTAAGCTGTTGAACTAATGGAAGCCATGAAGGGGATCAGCCTAGGTCCTGAGCTACGAAGGCTGACAACAATATAAGGGCTTATGAAGCATGAGGAATGCCCAGTAAGAGGTGAGGGCCAGGAGGAAATACTTTATTTCTCAACAGCCTCTGAGGGTAATCAAGACCATGTAAGGAAGGAAAAGAGCTTGGGGAAGAAAAGAGTGAAGTCAAGGTGAGGGAATTTGCAAATACTTCTCAACAAACAAAGGCCAAAGTTAAAACCAACCTAGCAACACACACATAGCCAGGATTCAAGTTGGAAAAAGGGAAAAATCAGAAAGAATTGTTCTCACAGCAGCAGGCACTAGGAATATGTCATCTAACTACATGGGAATTTTTAGGATGCCAATGGTATATCCTTCCACAGAAATGCATCGCGTTACTGTGGCCAGCAGCATATAATTTGATTTTCATGGAAGTAAAGTTGGAGAAACCACCCTCTTGGCCAGGCCGATTTATTTGATTTTACCTCAAGTATGCTGGCTCCTTGAGCTATGCATTTCACAATCCCCTTATAACCTCTTGTCACAAAACAGAATCTTGCTTTGTCATCATTGCGCCCATTAACTGCACTGTAGCCAAGGGTTGGTCAGAATTTAACCCTAATTTTGAACAAGACTACAAAATGGGATGTATGAACCTGGAACAGTTAACACTGTCAAGAGAGTTCATTTAAGCCAGCTTTGACTTGAAGGCTAAGTACAGACAGACAGTCAAAAAGCCCAAGGCTGAGTTGATTCAATCTTTGCAGGTTAGTCTAAAACGCACAGATTAAATTGAAACAGAAGTGAAGAGACATTTACCTTCGATTCAGGAAATGCAGGGACATGCCTGCAGTAGCTCAGGCCAGAAGCTGGGGTTGTGGTGGGGGGTGGAGGGGTGCTAGAGGATGGCTCTCTGGCTTTGTGTTCACTTCCTCTTCCTGGTGCCCCCAAGGTCTCTGGGATTTGCAGCCCACAATTACAGCAGCAGGACTCTGCAGGGTCGCTTATCACTTCCTCTTCCTGCTTCCAGGTGCCTCTGGCCTTTGTAGTCCACAGTTGCAGCCAGCAACAAATTTAAGCAGGGGATGGGATATTTAACCCCACCTCCCTGACCCTGGACCCCAGCCATGGTTTGCCAGGGGGCATTCCCCATCCCCGTTCCCCCAGTAGACTGGGCTGCATCCTCAGCCAGGTCTGCTCCCCCATCCCCTGCTTATCAGTCAGCCTTCATTGCTCCAGGGGCCAGCCCTGTCTCTGGAACAGACAGCACAGCCCAGCCCAGCCCACCCCAGGGCTGAAAAGCATGCTGGGATGCTGGGGGACTGTGATCTAACTTGAACCACAAAGGGGTCTGGGACAGAAGTTTCATAAACTGGTTTGACTCAAATCAGTTAAGTCTGACACTACATTCAACCAGGTTTATCTTAAACCAGTTTCAGCCATTTTGAAGCTAGTTTAGATGCACAGTGCTTCTGTTCTGTTACAGGTTTAAACCAGTTTCTGATCACTTAAACCAGTTCGTGTGTAACTTCTGTCCCTAGCCAAAAGAAGATAAAACAGAAGCAGGTTTATTTACTCAGGTCTCCATTGCTAGGGAATCAGGTCCAGTATAAAAGTTCAAGCAGCTTCAACCTGCTTAGAGTACACAAGAGTAACTAAAAGCCAGGTGGTTTGAGGGGTTTTTTTATTTTACTTTTAAGCAGATGTTCATGCAAATCATTAGTAAAATGATAAGGATCTTAATTGTCTCATCACAGTTTAAAGAAGAAAAGACAGAACAAATATAATGACAATATTTGTACATAGTGGCAACATCTTCTCAGAGGAGAAGATGCGCCATGCATACACAACATACCACAGACAAAAAAAAAAAAAATCAACTTCATCTTGGTTGAGTGATTAGGTGCACGAGGCTTCATATCTTACTGCAGATTAAAAGCTTGGCGTCTTTCATGAGTAATAATAAAAATAAATTCAAATCACAAAAACAGCCTACATTGCAGTATTAACAGCAGAGACATTTAAAAGCTGAGATGTTGCTTCTGTCTACCTATAGGAGATATTACAGGTACATACTAAATATGCTTCAATATTCAAAGCTGAGTAAGATAAAAGTCAAACAGTAGCTTTAAAATCTGTATGCTAGGAGTTTCATATTCACGTTGAATTTATGACCAAAAAAAAGTTGTGCAGATTTCAATTTGGTGGAAGGTGGCAAATAGAACCAGCAAAGCAAGATCTTCATCATTCCTTCACGAGATGCAGAGCAGGGCTGGATTCACCACTGACTTCTGTATCAGCTTTCACCCTGAAAAAGAACAATCGATCATAACCACAAGCACCCTCTCCAACAAGTCAGATGAGATCATGGTAACAGAGAAAAAAAAAAGCACCCTTTGAAGAGGATCCAATACATTTTTCAAACTTCTGTGTAGGTTATAAAAAGCTTCTGAGAAACACTTTATGGGTTCTATGCAACTTGGTCAACACTTAGTATTATCAAATTTTGAATGCAAAAATCACAACTAGTTATATATGAATGAGAGAGAAAAAGTAAGCCACCATTAGGCAAAACATCCTTGATTAAATGACAGTTCCATAAAACCCATGCAGTTCATTTTTCCAGATTCCACTCATCAAATACAGGGGAAGAGGAGGTATTTTCTTCTCAAGTTTCCATTACTTCAGAATTCCTTAGGCATGAGTTATCACAGCTTCACTCCCATCACACCCCTAATTCCATTTAGATCAATTAAGATGGCTGATATAGAACTGGTGTAATACTACTGAATTAGGTGCTTACTGCACCTTCATGTGCCAGCAGAACAATGGTGCAAAGAGCCTAAAATGCACTAGAATTTACACAAGAAGATTTTGGAAGGTCCTGAAGAACTCCCTTTCCACCCAACAAGCTCAGAGTGCTAAGTAACTTCTAGATTTTCAAGAGGGTGGGGACACAGGATGCTCAGTGGCCTGCTAGTCCCCTTCTTCAAAGTCTTCAGGAGGCAGCCAGCTTCCTTCCTGGCTACCACTACTGCAGGGGTAGGCAACCTCTGGCACAGGTGCCAGAGCAAGGCACACAAAGGCCTTTTGTTTGGCATGCATGCCTCAAGAAGGACAGCAGGGAAAAGAGAAGGAGGCAGGGCTGTGCTGCCACAACAAGTATTGGGCCCCTCACAGCTCCCATGATGTCCTCCCTTGGCATGCCTACATCTTACAAGTTGAGCTTGTGGGTGTTTTTGGAGCACTGCCCAAAAATGTTGCCGACCCCTGAACTACCGTGACAGAAAGGAGGGGGAAGGGCTACATTCCCATCTTTCTTAGGGGAATTATCGAGGAGACTCAGGGTTACTTGAGGTTTGGACTGGATTCCTGGCCAGAGGACCAGATTCAGTCTTTACGAGATTTTGTATACAGGCAGGATCCCCTGGTACATATTACATAAACATGATACTCAAAAACATTTTCAAACTCTTGCGATTCCCAAGCGGAGCTGGTGAACTTTGGAGTTCTAAAAATGCAAGGCCACAGAGATTCAAGGCCAGAGGGACACTGATAACCTAGTGTGACCTGTAGCAAAATAAAAGCCACAAGACCTCATTCAGGGATCCCTTCACTGAGCACAAAACCTGATACCTAAACTGGAGGCAATATGGGATGACGCAAATATTGACTGCCTTTAGGGCCTGTGCTTTCATCCTGTCAAGCCATACCGATAAATAGTTGTGGGAGCCATCCAACAACTTTTCTAACACTTCATTTTGGTTAGCAGGATATGCAAGGACACTGTGTTATACAAAAACATTGTGACTTAGACTGTAACGTGCTTCTTATGAAGGATTCTATAATCATGTTGTCCCATCCATGTCAAACACAAAAATAACCTTTGTAACAGAAGACAGATGCTACTAACCATGTAAAAAACTGACATGTTAGACAGGCTCCCAGAATAGCAAATCCCTGTAAAAAAAACCAAAAAAAAAACACACCACTCTGATGAATGAGATGATTACCACCAAATGAGGAAATCTCTACTTACCCTGGTGGGTAAAGTAGAGATGGGCATTCTAGCTCTTGCATGTGTCCACAAAGCCAACTTATACAAAGAAACCTTCAAACAAGTTATCACAAAATTAACTACCATATTTGCCTGAATCCGAGGAAACTCTGAATTTAAGACAAACCCCCAATAATTAGATTTTATACACAGAAAAAATTGCAAATTAGCTATAATTTTCCATGTACAAAATCTAGTTTTGGGGGAAACTCTCTTAAATTCACTCCCCACAACTGCTGCTGTGGGGCAAGCAGCCGTAGGGAGGCAGGTAGCAGGGCGTCACAGTGGCCTGACCCCTACCTCCCACTACTTGCCCTCTGATGCCTGCTCCCCGCTGCTACTTGCTCCCCCTGGGAGCTGGAGGCCACACACTCTGGCCACAGTCACAGAAAACACTAGGTGGAAGTTGCAGAAGCAACAGTTTGGCCCCAGCCCCAAAACCTAAGCCAAGGCCAGACTTGCTGCCACTACCACCTCTGCTGCATGGCTGGGCAGGAGCTAAAGCCACCATGTGCTCCATGCCCCAGGCCAGAGTGGGGCTGGAACTGAGACTGGAGCTGGAGGGAAAGTGGTAGCAGTGGGCAACACAGAGCTGAAGGGGAGGAGAGCAGCTGAGGCTCTGAGCCTGGAGTCGGAGCTGCAGCAGCCACTGTCATTCCCCCCCTACCAACCTGTACTCTAATCCAAGACAAGGGGGTCTGCCCCCTCACCCTCCTCCCATGTTAAGTTGGGGGAAAACCTCATCTTTGATTCAAATAAAAACAGTACAAAAAAGAAAAGGGGGGAGGCATGAGAAAGAGCACAAGAGCTATACATGTCATGAGAAGCAAAACCAGCATCTTGTCCATTTGTCAAGCATCTAGCTGCAGTTAAAGATTTTGTGTAATGAATTAGCTAACTCCTCTGCATACCTGCCAGAGCTCTGATTCAGCACCAGTTAAGTGTCTGTCTTATTTTAAGCACATGTTTAAGCATTCAACACAGATTAATATTGGGAAATACTGTGGGACTGTCAAACTAAAGGCACTGTACACATGCAAGTTATAATGAGAGATCATATATTAGTTTTGGCTTTGCTATGTCTACTGTCCTACTCCTGCAATATAATAAATTAATCATATCTAAGAAAAAAAATTCTTGATGTTTCACATTGACAATTTTTTCCACAAACAGCACTGAGGCCAGACAGACACTCAGTATGGAACAACAGATCTACACTTAGGGCTTGGCCCTTTCATCCTCCTCCAAGCAGAACAGGGCATGAACTGCAGTTCTAAGCTAAAGGGATTTAGAAATATACATCCTGTCCTTTTCTTGCCTATATGAGACTTAACTTTCTAAGTGGGCTTCCTCCTCAGTTTCATTTTTCTGCCTAGGGCTAAGTGAAGTGCCAGGTAAATAACTAAAAAAAAAAAAAAAAAGAAGAACTGTTAAGAATTAAATTAGTTAAATGTGGTCAGCTCAAGCAGTTGTTGTACTGCTAAAGTTCAGCACTCAAACCCCATGGAAGTCAAGCATGGAGGATGGTTGCAACAAAAGTGTGTTTTTCCCTAGTTATTTTCACAAGAAAAAAAATTATACTTAAGGACTATGTTAAAGAGTGTTATTTAGATTTCGAAGTGAAGTCAGAAATGAGAGATATACAGATGCCAATATAATTTTAGTTCTGCTCCCTTGCATGCAATGCATTACACATCTCGTCTCTAAGTTACATGGCCATTTTTTTTCCATAATGACCCCTCATCTCATTCATTGCACAGGGTGCACATGCAAAAAGGCAGAACTAATGATGCACAGGCAATTATAGGCTTCACGCTTCCTAACTTTTGAACACTTGTCTGACTTAGCAATCTACATAATAATTTTTTTCATGTAGCTTTAATATGAAATTTGAAAATTCAGTGCACAATAAAGTGTATTCTGTTTAAGTTCATGGCCTTAGGACTAAAAAAAAAAAAGGCCATGAACTTACCAGAAGTACGCACTTATCTGGGCTTAATGCTCGCTAAGTACACAGTGCTGTCAGTTCTACAGTATTAGCAGATCCTAAACTAACTACCTCCCATCACTGTCAGAGCATTTAAATAGAAAGTTAAAAGCCTTGAAAATGAGAAGAAACTGACTGGAGTTAGGCTCACGTCTGCTGTTAGCAACTCTAAAAAAAGAGGGGAAATTCTATCATGAAACTGACTGACTACAATTAACTTCAAGGTTTCTAATAGCAGTCTTTTGACAGCAAATTCTCTTCACCACTGCTAGCACCAATTAGTATGCAGTTAAGCAGAGTACAAAGTAGAAAGTGGGGCTGAAAGAGGTACTTTACTAGTATATAGAGAACCAATGTCTGTGACAACATAAGCAGTCATCAGAAAAATAGGGACTGGCATCACACTTTAAAGTTAAGCAAAATATCCCTGATCTAGTATGGACGTAGGACCACTTTCTCCTCCTACTTCTACCTACAGATTCAGAGAAAAGCAAACACACAGGTGCACTCTGCCCAAACATTTACTATTCCATTAGAGGGGATAATAATAATATATAAAAATCTCCTGTGCCCATCAAGAAAGAGTTTATGCTCCGAGAAAGGAGGATCATTTCTTGAAAACTAACTGCCTGACTTTCTAAAGCCAATGTAACTGCATGTGTCACATGTTCAGACAAATATTATAACAATATGCATTCCTACAAAAAAGACGACATACAATAGGGATGATCATAGGCATGATACTTACAGGGGTTGTTGCTGTTTGCTTCTGTTTTCACAACCTTGGAAAGTTTGGTAGAGTTCTGCTGCACTTTGCTTTGCTCCTCTCCAGTTAGTAGGGCTTTTATTTCAGAGGGGATTTTCCCTTGATCCATTGCCATGCACCACTGCTTGTACTGAAATATGCAAACACATCAAGCACTAGCAAACTGCCAGGATCACAGTAGTAGTTTGTGCCTACTTAGGTGAAACTTTTTCTACAATTGTTGAGAACTAATGAGCTAAGCACATGTCTAGAGCTGCATACCTGACCTGCGTAAATCCTGTTTCTGTTAATAAACTGCTGCTTGGGGGCACAGCTACATACAATACAATAAGCATTAAACAGTGTAGAACTCTCCTGTGCTTTCTGGCTGCTGCCATGCCAATACGCTGCTCCAGCTCACATGCTATCAAAAACAAGTCTCATAAACCTTGTGCTGGTGAAACCTTCACATTGACACTC